AGATAGAGTGAGAGAAGGCAGAATAGGTCGTGGGGATTTAGTTTGTACGCTTATCCATTGACAGTGTGGTTTCAAATTTTATGAGGATAAGCCATTGAGACACAAACCTTGCATTTCTGCATGATTGTCTAGCTTCCGCTTAAAAATCTCCAGAGATGGCGCTGTAGTCACGGCCGCCGGTAAAGCGTTCCAGAGACGGCAAACACGAAGCGAAAAGAAATGTGATCGCACTCGAGTCTTTGGTCTCTGGTGTGCTATCCTTAGCGGGTTACCTCGTGGAAGCCTATAATCACTTAATGGCAGGATGCTTTTATTTGGGTGGGCCTGGTCATTTAGGATCTTGTAGACGGTGATGAGGTCTCCCCTGTGCCTACGGTAACTAAGTGTGAAAAGACCTAATTTCTTTAGTCTTTCCTCATATGATTTGTTGCGGAGGCCGATCACCCATTTTGTCGCTCGTCTCTGGACACTTTCTAGAATGTTAGCATCCCTTTTGAGTAGCGGAGGTGCAATGATATTATGCACCTCAAGGTGTGGCCTCACATATGCCTTATAGAACCTTAAGAACAGTTCGGGAGTGAGAGCTCCCAGCTGCCTATGCATAAAGTGTAATGTTGCGTAGGCTTTGGCGACGTCCCTCGAGTAATTTCCACTGGTGTCTAGCTTTTCTGTTAGAATAAGACCTAGATCACGCTCTGATGGAACACAACTCAAGTTCTGGCCACCAAGGGTGTAATTTACACTCTGTGACCTGCCGGAATGAAGTTGCACTACTTTGCACTTCTTTAGGTTGAAAGGCATTCCGTTAGCCAGAGCCCAGTTTCCCAGAGTTTGCAGGTCAGCCTGCAATCTATCTGAGTCTTCCGATGAGTTTATTGCTCTCCAAATCTTTACGTCGTCAGCGTAAAGAAGCGCAGAGCAGTTTAGTTGGGAGGGCAGGTCGTTGATAAAAATCAAAAACATCAACGGCCCTAGGATAGAACCCTGAGGAACCCCTGATGCCGAGGTGTGCCAGGATGATCGGATGCGGTTGACTTTGGTGCAGAATTCTCTCTCGCCTAAGTAATCTTTCAGCCATGCGAGAAGTGCTCCAGAAACACCCGCCTTGCTTATTTTGTGAAGGAGCAGACCATGGTGAACTGTGTCGAATGCTTTCGCAAAGTCGAGAAAGATCACGTGGGCTGGTACCTTTTTGTCCCAGGATAGTGTCCAATCGTTCCAAGCTAGTAGAAGATTCGTCACGCAGGATCTTCCCCTCCTGAAACCGTGCTGTGCTTCGTGAAGAAGGTTAGTCCCATCGAAGTATTTTCTCATGTGGTCGTCAATGAGACTTTCCAATATCTTCGATACCACTGGAAGTAGAGCAACTGGTCTGTAACTGGTCACATTCTGCCGGTCACCACCCTTGAAGATAGGGGATAGGATTGCACGTTTCCATTCACATGGAAGTTTCCCTACATCAAGGGAGTGTTGGAACAGATCACTTAGGGGTTGGCAGAGACTTTCTGAACACTGCTTCAGGACAGATGGTCTGATGCCATCACAACCTGAAGACTTTCCCGAAGCCAACCTTCCCAATTTTGCAAGTACCATAGCCGGGGTAATTTGAAATGTACCCAGCAGGTTTTCGCGTGTTGGTTTTGCGATGTAATCTGGATGTTCTGTGGGGGTAATATCCTCGTTACTGTTTAGTTGCCTGTGAAAGGCTAGGCTGAATGTCTCTGCCATTTCAAGACTAGTAAGAGATTTCCCATCAGAACCCACTAGATTGCATGCTCCCTGGTTGGTCGGTTTTCTTTCGGACATAAACCTGTATAGGCTTTTGGGGTTCACGAGAAGCTTATTGGCGAGGTCTCCCTGAAATGTCCTTCTATCGCTCCGGACTCGTATGTTACATCGATTCCTGAGTTCAAGGTACACTTCATGTTCGGGTTGACTCTTCGATCGTCGCCACGCGAACCAGGCTTTTCGCTTCGCCTGCAGAAGGCGTTGTGTCCCCTTTTTCAGCCATGATCGTTGCTTCCTAGCTTTTGGTGTGACTAAAGGAACAGTGTCTGAGACCGCCTGGTGAATGATCTCCTTTACCACTCTCCAGTGTTCTTCTACTGTTAGCTCTGTCCATTTTTTAGGCCAATTTGCTTCAGACAGAAGTCTTCGCATTTTGGTGTAGTTGGCTTTGTTATAACACAGATAGGGCTGTGTATTGTCCCACTGTAAGCGCTCGCGGAGGACTATGTCGAATACTATGACCGCGTGGTCACTACTACCTATGGGAGTCGTGATCTGAACGTTTTCCACTAGTAGCTGGTCACTAGTGAGCACGTAATCCAGTCTAGAAGACTTCCCATCAGGGCCCCATCTAGTATCCATCTTGACATTTTCAGTGAATCCAGCCTTCCTGATGGTATGCAGCAGATTTCGATCAAATCTATCATGGGCTTTTCCCGACACCAAGTTAAGAGATGGGGCATTGAAGTCACCAGCTATGACAATTTGATCATAACCCATGTCTTGAGTTGCTGAGATTGTATTTAGCAGTACCTGGTTGTGGTCTGCTCCACATGAAGGTGATCGATAAATGCTGCCCACTAGATATTTGCAGTACCCAACGGTGAAGTGGCACCATATGGAGTCAGGGAGCTCTGTGAGGGGAGGGTCCATCGCGTGAACACATCTGAGCTGTTTGTCGACGTATATGGCGACTCCACCTCCTTCTTTCAGGTCCCTATCTCGCCTGACTAGGACCATATCATTTATACTGACTTCGCTGTCTGCCACCGTAGGGGTTAGCCAGGTTTCCGTCAGTATTATGATTTTGGAGTTCAGTTGTGATTGTAGGTGTCTAAGTTCAGCTATTTTGCCTCTTAGCCCTCTCACATTACTGTACAGGCAACTGGTAGTCAGTCTCACCACTTCCCCGTATTGGGGGGTAGTTGACTTGATATTGGCTATCGGTTGAGGAGTTATCCTACGAACTAGTTGGCCGATTCCCCAGGAACCGGCCTGTTGGCGTTTTTTTCTTCTAGTTCAGTTGGAGCACTCGGATGACACTGGCTATCATCGTCCGTGCTGCACCGCTGTAGTGTGACTAGGGGTTGAGGATTTTTTTAACTACGCTTTGTTCTCTCCTTTGAGTGCGAGGCCGGCTCTCGCAGCAGCGAATGTGTTTGCTGACCTTGTCCTTGGTCTCGTACCATCTATGGAGAGCGGTAGTCAACTGGTCTTGGGAGCTGAACTTGACAGCTAACAGACGTGGCGAGTTAATTGACATAAGATGAGTGGGTCGAGGCAGTCTATAAATAGAGACAGCCCCTGAACTCCCCAGGGCCATCTGGGATGCCAACCATCTCCATTGTTGTACATCATGACAATGCTTTTCGCAGGCGTTCCCAGTTACCAGTTCGGGAATGCCATGCACAACCATGGAGGCAGAAGGAATGAGCTCTGGCGACTCCCTCGCCATTTGTCTTTCCTTCCACGGCCTGTCTGGCTTAACACGTATGTTACAGGCCCTCCCTATAGAAAGGACTTGAGAAGCCAGTAACACTTTTTCAACATCCTCGGTAGAGCCCAATGTTACCCTCAGTGGGGATGGTTTGCCTTCAGGTGCAGCAGTGCCCTTATACAATCTGCATAGATTTACTGGTTGGATGTCCAAACCCAGTGTGCTACACAAGATGGACCACTGTTCCTGATCAAATAGGGCCCTATCTTTCAGCAGACTACTGCTACAGTCTGGTACATTAAAGAGGATTACACAATTTGATCTACTAACCGTGGGCTTGGGCTCGGTCCTCGCACATTTGTGATTTCCTTTAAGACCGTTTTGGTTTGTCTGGTGCGACTGGGTATTTTTTGTGTCTCAGTGCTATGGCCAATATTACTGGCAGACGAGAGGGGTCTTTTTCCAACGACGGAAACCCGTGGTTCTCCAGCCTCTGTGTCTGGAGCGGTTATGTCAAGAGTTACAAGTTTAACCGGTGAGGATTTTGGTATCCCCGGTTTACGCGCATTTGTACTAATTTCCGGATTGGTGGGGGTCGAGCATTTCATATTTTCCCCGCTACTTCTGCACCATCTTTAGTTTTCAAAGGACTACGCGAGGCTACATCAGGACGGCAACTCGGGCATATGTACCAGAACCATTGGCATGGGTTTTTACGCATAAAGTCATAATATGCTTTTGGTACCCCATTGTCGCATCTGCAATGCACCCATCGCTTGCAAAAGTTACATTCGAAAGCAGAGTCTGCTTGTTCGACAACAGAAGCGCAGACCTTGCAGTCGTCTGCCTTCTTGGGGAGCGTTCTTGTCGTCTTGCGACGTCGTGAACGTTTCTTTTTGGCCTTCCTATTTGTTTCATGGTCTACCATGGGGATGGGTGTTATGCAGTTCTCACTTAGTGCAATTTTCCCACTCGGATCTGTTAACCTAGTCGTGTTAACAGGGGTGGAGCCACATCCACTTGGCTGACTTTGCACAGCTTCACTGTAGGACTGTGGCGACATAGGTAATTTGTACGTGCTGGGAATATCAGCCCTGGTCTTGTGAGAGCTGGAACAGAGTTGATAGGCAAATCCATTAGGTTTTGATCTACTCCTGAGAATGCCTAGAAAAAGCACAGGGGCTGAACTAGTGCCAGTCATACTGAAAAATATAACTTAGCTCTAGTCTATCCACATAATTTTGATTTTTTTTTTTTGATTTTTGATTTACAGCTTGATTCCACACTGTATTTTTGGTACAAGTATGGAATTTTCAGCATGGATATCGGTAGCCCAAATTTTGCAGGCCGACCATAGATATCAGGTGTGCGCCGGCGTGGGCTCGAACCCCGGACCATGTGCACGGTCGGCGAGAGTCCTAACCACTGTGCCACCGACGCACACCATTTTAGAACATATTGAGAATTTACCCACTATAGAATGTTAAAGTTATTTCAGAATTAGCGAGATTCAATTCAGCATTATAAAAAGCTTGGGCTGTTAATCAAAGCATACCAAAATGTAACAAAACTAAGGTGAGGGTAGCGCCTACTTCATTTCTAACACACTTATATCCAATATCCAATATGTCTTGAACCAAACCGGGTTTTTCCTTTGCTGTTTCACCCTTGTTTTGAAGTACCCGTGAACTTCTGATTAATCATTTCCACCACCTCTCTACTGAAATTTCTGTAGATCCCAACCAAAGTTGAGGGTTCGTAATATTTGAAAATTTGATTGATTCAGATTTCAGACCTTTGACTGAAGATAGAAGGCTTTAAGTCTGTCTATACACTTTTCCAGTAGGTAACTTTGCTCGTTCAAGCGCCTCTTGAACGAGTCAACTAAGGTTGCATACACCATACTTCTGGCAGTTAGTTCTATATTTTTGACTCGGTGGGAGAATAATAATAATAATTTACTTTATTCCAAAAACAGTACTTGTGATACAGAATGGAATTTTCAGCACTAATCACAATATTGCATCTAGTTTCCTCAAATTATAAATAAAAATTAATCACACAGAAAATTTTCCACATTTACAATAGAGGTATTGTCAAAAACATGCAGCATATAAAATGGAAATAGCAATAATAATGATAACAGCTAGGGTAATAATAATAAGAATACAAGTGAATAAATGAAGTTAAAAAGGATTCGACTCACATCATAAGATTCTAACAAGCTACTCATTTTTACCATGAAATTATCTTACTTCCCATCTGATTGTATTTCATCGATAATACTAATATTATTTCCGAATGCACTTTATCTCATATTGATTTTATTCAAATGTCTAGTCAATTTTACTCATGTATACAAATGAAACAAGAAAGCTGTGTGAGTGCCTTAATATGATTATGAGCAGTAATAATTTGTGCTCTAAAGGCAGTCGTCAGTAAATATTTCTGTATAACACGCTGTGATACCTCAAAATAAATTTTTATCCATAATGGAGTAGTACTTTATGAGCAGGGTGTTTCAACCAGTTTCGGAGGCGTTCACTAAACTCCAATGCGGCAGACGGTCTTTTCATGCTGCTGCCGGCATGGGTGCAGATTTCCTATCCCTTGAGGGCGTTAGAATCGCCTAAAATTGTGTCCCTCCCAGTTCGCAAACTTAGTGTAAGTCTGACAATACGAAATGACTAAATACTCTGAAGTTATCTTATTGGCCAGCCCCATACGAACTGTGAATCACTACATCTACCAGTGTTTTAATGAGTGGCCTGCCTGGAAAGAGTTCGATTAGGTGATCTTCGTGTACGAACCTCGACCTCGAGGTCTGAATTTGTGTTTTCCTTTATACTATGGAAAATAAGGAACCCCTTGGAGAGATGATGTTTGGTACGGCTTACACTTTTGTTCTGAGGCAACGGTGTCTCTCCACCTTTAAGGGATAATACGTCCTTTTCAAAGCAATCGCCAAAGCACAGCAGAATTCAATGAATTCATCAGATTTCGGTTTAAGTTTTCACCTGAATACTCAGATGCAGGGATATGTATCCACTAGATTTACATTGGGAAATTTATGACTTATAAGCAAATGAACTACATTTAATCAGCCATTCAAAACAACAGGTGTCGGTGTTTTCAGGCGATGTTCAGATGAAGTAGAGGTAAGAAGTATGGAATTAAAGTTGACATAAAATTCATTATGGTTCAAACAGACCACTTAAATGAACAATTAGTTTCTCTTCAAATCACGGAATATACACTTTGGGTCTTCTTAATAACTCCTATGAACAATTAGTTGTAAGTGAATGGAAGAACTTGAATATATCAAGAACTGAGAAATGAATAATATTGGTGATAATGGTGAAGCTAAAAACAGTAACAATAATAGCGATGTTAAAACGAGTTGGTATACTGGCATTGGTAAAGGATAGTCCTAGACGAATAAGAGATACCAGAAAGAGGTGGAATAAAGTATAGAACAAAAACAATAATAGTAACAGTTAACAAGTGCGGCATATCACCGTAGTTGATTCAGAGTGACCACGGATTTTATCTGTACGCAGAAACCAGGTTTAATTCCAGGTGCACAAACCCTTGAAATTTCAAGCACCCTCCTATTTCTTTGTCTGCTGAAAAAAGTGAATGACGTGGAAGCATTAACATAATGTACGTGGACCACAAGATGGTTTGTTGTTGAACTTTTCAGTACTTTGACTTCAGCTGTTTTCAAACACTTTGGTGAATGCTGCATCATGCGAGTAAACAATCACCTGATTGTGTGACCACTGTTTTTTCTTTCGCATAAGTACCTAGTCTGGGAAATATCAGCCACCACCCCTCGACAGTGAATATACCAATTTGAGTGTATTTGTGGAAGTAAGTACACAGGTCGTACGGGAAGGCGATTGTCTGCTCATGTGGTAGAGCATTGGCCAAACGAGGTTGGAAACAACCAAGCTGGTGACTGCTTACTGTCTACTTGTGCTATGAGTTGAACTAAGTCTGAAATATCGACGGCCTGTAATGCGGCTTTGGCTGTAGGTTCTCAATAACTGCTGCCCCCTTTAGTTCGGGAGTACCTGGCAGCTGTAGCTAAGGCTCGCTGATAATGTGTTACTATGCATACCAAAATATTTGTCGCTGACGCTAACAGCATTATCAATACCTTAATGCTGTCTGTTTTTCCATGGAGATGAGTGAATTTTCCTTTCTGGAGGTAATAACTCCCATTAGGCAGTGTTATGCCTCCTTTCATGTGGCGTTTAGTTTTTTTTCGGACCTTGCGAGAGACCAGTGGAAGGTTATCGTTGGGAAAGCGAATTTCTGTCGAAATAGTTGTACAAATTACTGTCAGACGGCTTGTGATACCGTAGTACACAGATGGCGTCTACGAACCTTTATTTCCGAATGCACGACAAATGGCAAGTGAAACCGGATATACCTATTCAAACAACCGAAAAGACATTTATCACTCAATAGGCAAAGAAAGCCTTACAAATAGTAAAAAGGATGTGTTCCCTACTCTGTTGCTTGTTCCATCCTTCTGAATTCCTGAATCGCTTACAACATAAGAGTGGCCATATAATACCGTGTTTCGGAGACCCCACAATTGCATATAGCATGACACTAAGGAATGCAGTTTTCAAGTATCATGCTAACCATCACTGGACATTGACCCACCAACTCCTCAGAACGGTTCATTGCAGGAAACCCTTTAGAACGTAGATATTATACTATAGGATAAGTGACAGTTACAGTCTAATAGAACAATAATTGAATTATCTTCGATGCAAAAGGCAGAATCCCATCAAAATTTACAAGTCTCCGGAATCCACATTGTTAAAAAATGCTTCCTGCTTATTTGCTACTTGAAAATGAAAAAGGATCCAAAACTTAACATGATTAATTCGAGTTAAAATTATTCTGTAGACTTTTGTAGCGTAACACATATGTGGTGAGAGCAGCCTGCTAGACAACTGGTTGACATTAATCTACGTCAATGTCTAGGGGACTAATATGGGCCGTGAGAAAATGTGAACGAGGCTGTTTCAACAATCAATCAGAGCAAACTTAAACGTGGGCAGTTATGATTCGGAGATAGATGGCTCCACTTTCCGAGGAACTCGAAAATAATCAGAAGACTGCGTTTGTCTACTTGACTAGGCTGTAATAATGTATGTGAAATATATATAAATACGTGTTGATTTCCGTAATAAAATGATCTGTTGCCTGGCCCTTGTCTTCTGTTGTTACACATATGTTAGCCAACTATCAGAAACCGTCAATGTCCAGTTCCTACTACGCTGGACCTCACGTTGTCCCTCGAAGACTTTCAGAAACAATTTGTAATAACCAACGCGATAAACCAGAATACAGATTGGCGACTCGAGAATCATTTATTCTTACGCCAATATGCAACCAACAGTAAGGTTGCTATACACAAGGTCTAAGAATAAATGTTATAACAATAAATCACGATAATACTTCTGATGGTTTTCCCCCTCCAGAAAGCAGCGAACGATGAGACAATGACTGCCGTATTGATGACTCCCACGAAAAATATGGAGGAGTTGTGTTTGAGCAAACAACCATGAATTGATCGTTCGATCTTCAACTACATCGACAACATAACAAAAGCTATAATTGAACAAGAGCATGCAAAAACCTCACTTCTGAAAGTTCTCAAGTTATCTTGTAGTGTCTCTAGCACCGCTGTTACTTAAATTAAATATTTTATCCGTTAATCGTTCTCTGTTGCGGAACTAAACAAGGCAACTAATACGATAAACACGCTACTTGCAGTGTGAATATAAAGCTTTACATATGAATGAAAGAATAAATTGACGGGAAAGACTATGTGAAGGGGAGAAACTTGATTGAAAATACTGAAGTATCGGCCTTATCACACTATCCGATTAGGTCATTGTTGGTGAACACTAGAGCAATTCAGTCAAAAGTACTGATATTTCATATAGTGACTTTTATTTTGAATGTTTTTTAGTGAGTTTACAGTAAACAACTGAAAATTTGGCGATCAAACTGCTGTAGAATTCTTTTCGCTATGCTGGGTTAATAATAATAATGTGTATTCTCATATAAACATATAAATTTACATGAGAATGCATGCCGTTTTACAGACACGATAAAGTATGATATAATATCAAATCGTAGACTGTCTACAAGTTAATAATGTTTCAACAGTTAAATATTTGATATATATATATATAAATACACTCATTTTCTGAACCAGGCCGTATAGTTATTGAATTGTACAGTTGCCCTCCAGGTTGAGCGGGAAATTCGACTTTGTTTCGTTTTCATCCCGTGGTTGTCGGCATTCGATAACCAACCAATATTGAGGTAAGTACAACTCCTACAAGGGATTCAAAGCTGTTTTAGAAAAGTAAAGTTGCTAAGGTGAATCAATAAAGTGCAATGAAATAGGTAAGTGCAAGTATCATTAATAAATTCATTTAGAAAGGAAACTCCCTAGGCTGGCAACGTTCATTTGTAATGCATAATGCTACCCATGTAGGTCTTACTATCATGATGTTCACCTTTGGTTTCAATACATTTATCCTCATGCCGGTTCTTTTTATTATTTACCTTTTTGTGCATTTAGTGCACAACCGTACCCTACAGAGAATAGGAATAGAACAAGTCGATTTAAATTCATAAAGAGCTATAAAATGTTAGGTTTAATGGAGCACAATGAGGATCAAGTAAAGACGTTATTAGAAAATAAATGAGATGAGACATTGCGAAGTGGTATTCATAGATCCAACAAGTTAATTTATAAGGTGCCCCATAAATCTGTGCACAGCCCACATGGCCGCATCTCAACAATAGGCTGAGCGAATGGTATATATT